TCCTTTGTTCCTTCCTCTTCTTGAAGTACGTGTTCACCACAGCCATTTAATCCTTTTTTTTTTTTGGTTTTTGGGAAATCCACAACTATCTGGCCTTCTGCATTTCTCTTCTTAGCACCATACCTTTCCAGGACCTCGTTATCACCCCGGTTCTGTTCACCTACACCTCTACTGAAATCTTCTCCAGTCAGAAATCTCTCCTCAAGGAGACACTATCATTTCATCCACAAGTCCTCCTTCTCTTCAGCAAGGTCCAACCTGTGGGGCATATGCACTGACAACATTAAGCATCATAACTTTATTGTCCAACTTCAAACTGAATATCCTGTCTGTCCCTCTATTCACCTACTCCATTTCTCTTCCTGTCTACACCATGGTAGAACTGCTTGAACCCATCTCCAATAATACTGGGATTACTTTCCCACTATATCTACCTTCCTTCTCCCTGTCATATCAGCCACCTCTCTCCTTGTACGAATCATAGTCTACCTACATTTTTCTTAGTCACATTGAAATAAAAAAACAAAACAGTTTACCTTTGTAAGTGATTAGTCAACATCAGAGTTCTTTGAGATTAGAATAAACATGTGCACTTTGCTGACTTGTTGTGTCACCCTTCATTAAACACTATACTTTATAATCTGATTGTGGCTTTGAAGCAACTTACTGTACTCAAGCGTTACAGTCCTCCTGGCAACAATACCCTGAACCCTCCCTTTTTGTTCCACCTTGCCTACACTCTTGGAGCTGTGTGTATGTATGTGTATGCACACCTCAGTGGTTTTACCTTGCCACAGTATCCTCCCCTGGGTCTTTGATTGTAAATGAGCTAAACCCTTACGGTGGTGGTGGGGATTTAACTCACTGTCTGTCTCTTGCGCCTCTCTGTCTCATCAGTTATAAACAGTGAAGTCATACCTTCCAAGGGGGCTGTTTTGTGCTATCTGTGATGATGTCACCAGCAGCCAATCAACACATAGCACTGCTAGAGGTAGTGCGTGTGCAGATGTGTGTGTGTTAGCGAGGGGGTGGGGTTGCAGAGGTGTGGGGTGCACCAATAGGAAAATCACACTCGCTCAGTTATTAGCCAGTTCTTCCAGCAAGCATGAGAACACACATCAAACCACGAATCCACAGGCTGCTTCTGATACACACTGACTGCCTCTCAGTCGTGCTGTATAAAGATACTCTGTATGTAGCACATGAATGTGTTATTTAATGCATTCTATGGGAAATGAAAGGCCTATCCTGGTAATAAATCACTCAATGAGATACCCCACGCTGTTTAGGGAAGCCTAGCTCTCCTCATATTTGTTCATTTACATTTCACTTTGTGTTTTATATTTCATTAGTCTGACAGTAACGATTAGGTCTAATTATATGATAAATATCATCTGTTCAGTGCTAAACTTACACAATTAATTGCTTTTCGTAGTGACCTCAGTTCAAGGTGACTGTGGAAGCTTTGCGTGCTTCCCTCCTCCAGCCTTAATATGCATTTGAAAGCTCAGGCTGTTGGCTGAAGACTTAATTTGGGTTAACGCTGTTGAGAATTTATAGCTGGTCTTGAATGGATATTCAATTACTAGATCAATGTGATTTGTTTTGGTGTGTTGCACAACAAACACACATATTGGTAACTGCAAACTAGAGAGGTCTTCAGTCTGATGATGGGGCTGAAGCAGAAAGCATCCTTTTAATATCTGTGTGTTTTTTGCGAGCTGTTTGCCCCGACCTTTTCTTTACTGTTGCACTCAGCACCACTGTCAAAGGAGAGGTGGGCTCATGTGTTATCATTCTGCTTCTGATTCACACGTTCATCTTTCTTCTTCTGTTTCCATCGTGACATCTTTCTCCCCCCAAAGAAAGCAACAGAAGGTCAAACTTTTTTGCCAACGTGTCCTTTTCCACATTATTCCACATTGTGCTGCATTGAACAGCTTTGTGGAGATATTTATTTCTTCATTATTTTAATTTTAGCCTGGAAATACAGCTCGCTCTCTGCTTGTTTCCACTAACAGTACTTGCACTTCATGATAAATACTCAGCACCTTTGCATGAAACACATTGGTGAATGGTTTCAGGTAAATATGATAAAGCACAGGGCAGCACGGTGGTTAGCACTGTTGCCTCACAGAAAGACGGTTCTGAGTTCAATTCCAACATCAGGCCGGGGTCTTTCTGTGTGGAGTTTGCATGTTCTCCCCGTGTTTGCGTGGGTTCCCTCCGGGTACTCCGGCTTCCTCCCACCGTCCAAAGACATGCAGCTTGTGGGGATAGGTTAATTGAAAAATCTAAATTGCCCATAGGTATGAATGCACAATTTAGAGTGAATGTGAGTGTGAATGGTTGTCCCTCCCTGTGTGTTGGCCCTGCGACAGACTGGCGACCTGTCCAGGGTGTACCCCGCCTCTTGCCCTATGACAGCTGGGATAGGCTCCAGCGCCCCCTGCTACCCTGAAAAGAATAAGCGGAAGCGAATAGATGGATGATAAAGCACAGTTATAATCAGTTGTAATCTTTGGTATTTACAACATATAGAGAGTCTTTACTATAGTCCTTTGTAGGACTACTTTTAAATTAACTAAAAGATGAATAGTGCTGGTGTGGGACCAGGTTGAGCTTTAGGTTGAGACAGTATATCCACTCACCAAATCACTGGTTTCTAAATATTTCAGCAGTTGATGCTTCAGCTCACAGTAATAACAGTGACTGCATTTTTTTTTTATCAGTGTCTGAAAATATTTTTGCTGACTCACATTTGTAGTAGGTCTTTCTACAGAATACAGTACTAACACTAGTGAGCTGTCCCTTGATTATTTGTACATAGTAGATAAAATCCTGTTGGTTCCATGTGCTCACATTGCCTTCCACTGTTTAATTTCAATAATTAGAAGCGCTACGGGCAGCAGGCTATCAACTGTGCGCAGTAGATTGTGTTTGCCTGCCTGGCTTCCTTACTGGCCACAGAGGAATGAGCAGTGAGTACATCTGATTAGCTGTATTGACTGGTAAAATGCTACCACACCGGGTTTCCGCTCATAAAACCAAGCTACATGGTAATTAGCCTGGGATCAATGTGAGCGCCTAGCCCACAGACACACAGACTGACTCGGACTGCTCCGGTCCTGAGTGAACAGAGCGAATGCTTAAAGAAAAACCTTAAAGGACCGGGCATTATCGAGCATCAGGGACATTACTGTCACATCACCTCTTTCATGTTTTTGTCTGTTCACATTCGGTCAGTTGAAAAAGATTCTCACAAGATAAATCACATTCATGTGTCTGAAAGCGCTGTTAATCTTGCTGTTATCAACCACCCAGTGGCCTTGGTTGTGTATTGGATTTGTCACCGGTGGTCTTTGCATCTTGAGTGATGGAATTTTTAGCTAAGCCCAGGTTTGTGTTATCACACAAAAACACTCACTTCCTGGGTGGAACTCGGTTTCTAAACAGCTTTTTGCTACATTTCTTGCTAATCTCAACCATCTCTGCCGTGGCGTTTCTGTTAAACCACTGGAATGAGCTTAGCAGGCACCTTTGTTGTTTACTTCAAACTGGCTGATGTCACGATAGCCTCCAGATTGAGAACTTTATCAGTCAAATGAGCTGGTTGAGACAGATCATCACTAGCCTATTATGGAGCGGAGCAACAATTTTTTTATTTTTATTTTTTTTTTATAAAAGGAACAGTTGTATTAGAACCAAAACAGGACCATTCAAAATAACAGAAAACTAGAGTTAAGCACAGAACATATGGGGGAAAAAAATAATACTACTATAAACAACTATATCAAGGAACAATGTTGATAGCAGAAAAAAACTAAAGTCTAATAGATACTACTAGAGCCATGACAGCTACTGAGCATCTAACTGCCATGGCTGCCTGAGCTGTAACACTTGCATACGTTTTGGGCTGTTACATTGTTGTGACAAATAGTGTGCAGGTAGACTATGTTTTATAAATGATCTGGGGCCTGTAGTATGAAGAAAGCTCAGTATATCAATGACTGTTTTTTTCCTTATCTGGCTAAAGGGCAAGTATGAGGAGTTAAAGTGTCTAATAAACTGAAAAACAAGAAGGTATATAAAAGGCTACAATAACTAAACAACTGAAACACATACAGCCTGACCTGTTGTTTTAGAGACAAGTGTAGAAATCTTTGTTGATTTATATGCCAACAGCTATCACATGGACATGTTAATATCCATCTTGGAACCTATCAATGGTGCCATAGTGGAGAAAGGCAGGGTACACCCTAGACCAGCAGTCCCCAACCTTTTTTGCACCACGGACCGGTTTGATGTCAGCCAACATTTTCACAGACCGGCCTTTAAGGTGTCACGGATAAATACAACAAAATAAAATGATATGACTGAGACAAAAACGGTGGTATTTTGTAAATATAATAATAAATGCGTCTTTACTGTGTAATCGTGTAACTTTATTAGCAGCGTCCTCCTGAAATGCGCCAACAACATTGAGAGTAACATCCTCCTCTCTGGCCCTTAATGCTCTCTGATCGCTATGGTAACATGTAAATATTTCTTTCAAAATAAGAGACATGAGTACAACACGGGAAAAGACCCAGGGAAACCGAGTTAACGATAAAAACCATACATTTCACACCTGAGCCTCAACTCTCACGGCCCAGTACCAAACGACTCACGGACCATTACAGATCCGTGGCCCGGGGGTTGGGGACCGCTGCCCTAGACAGTTCACTAGTCTGTTGCAGAGCTAACACAGAGATAGCCAACCATTCACACCTTTGAACAATTTAGAATCACCAGGTAACGCGACTCCACTAAGGGCATTTCCTTGGACTGTGGGAGGAGGCTGTAGTACCCATGCAGACACAGGGAAAACATACAAACTCCACATATAAAAAGTTCTTAGATGGTGGATTTAATTCCAAAGTGGAACTTTACACTCTGTCTGTGTGTAAGCTGGATTCTTACCTGTAACTTTTACCTGTTACCTGTTACTGTTTCCACAGGTGCCCACGGAGTGCGAGAGGAACCCCAGTTTGTGACAGCACGTGCAGGAGAAAACGTCATCCTGGGATGCGACGTTTCCCATCCCTTGAACGGCCAGCCCTATGTGGTGGAGTGGTTCAAGTATGGAATGCCCATCCCTTTCTTCATCAACTTTCGCTTCTACCCTCCTCATGTGGACCCGGAATATGCTGGTAAGATAGTGATTACAGTGAAATTGAGACATCAGTAAGTTGACACCAAGCTAAATCCAGGATTTCACTGACCTGAATGGGTTTACATTTGTTTGATGTTTGGCCACAGACACGAGTTGAATGAGAGGTGAGAGGGATTTTCCCTTGCTTTTGTTTGATTTCATTCCTCTGATCATTACATTGCAGAAATAATTCCCCCTCGTTTGACTTAAATTATTCATCCATTTGTCTCTTATATGATTAAATGGGAGTTTTCCAGGCTGAGAAGGAGTCGGCAGCCATGAATATTTTGGGAACTATAAATAGATTTCCACTTTTTTAGATAGTGGTGGTGAGAGTTATCTCATAAAGTTAGCTCAGTGTTTTGTTCTAGAACACAGACAGTTGTACGTAGGCTACGTGAGAAAAAACTGACATTTCGATCTGAGCAATGTGTAAACTAATTAGGAAAGGAGGCAATTAGTGCTGACGTTAGCTAAAATCGTAGTGGTTTCTTTCATTTAGACTACCTGATTATTCCAAATTGAAATTTCTGTGTAAAGGGAAATTAACTAAATAAAATGAAGCTTTGCAACATGTCAAGTAAGCACTTGTATTATTGGAAGTTTTCTGAAACTTTTCAACTGCAGCTCTCCTGACTTTGTAACAGAATTTAATGTTACATCTATTTAAGTCCCGTGAACATGGAGAGAATTTGTAACCTTTTAAAACCAGCTCTGGTGACAGTTTTGGTGATCTGGCCTGATTTGGTACAAGTACCTCCAGGGAGTAAAGGGTTTAATAATAACTATATGTTTTTCAATGATTATACAGGTCTGCAAAAATAAACTTTTTTTTTTTTTTTGCAAAACATGAGGAGTTTACAATAAAAAAGCACAACAGCGATGAAAAAAAAATCAATATTTTATTACAATTAACCATGCATAATCTTTCTTATAATTGAACAAAGAAACAAAAAACAATTCCTTCATGATATATTTAACACTACATGTTGTCAAAGGAGCTTGCAAAGAAAAGCGTCTGGACTTCTTTAAGTTACTTGAAGACGTTTCACCTCTCATCCGAGAAGCTTCTTCAGTTCTAAGGTCAAATGGTGGAGAGTCCCAGATATAAACCTAGTGGGAGTTTCCCCCCACAGAGGGACAAAAGGACCCCCTGATGATCCTCTAATCGCCTGAGCCAAGGTGTGAAACTGGGTGTGGGTCCCAATCAGCCAGAGTTTCGGGTGAGTTCATTGTGAAACCTGGCCCCACCTTATCATGCGAATTCCTGAGGTCAGATGGCCCAGGATGTGAGTGGGCGTTAAGGCGTCTGGGAAGGGATCTCAAAACTGGATTATAGATGGCAGAGAGTTGGTGTCGTAAACCCCCGCCTCTGTTCAAAGATGGTCGCTCACAGTGGACATAGATGCTTCTTTCACTCCTCTTTCAAACCATCTGTCCTCTCTGTCCAAAATGTGAACATTGGCATCCTCGAAAGAGTGTCCTTTATCCTTAAGATGCAGATGGACTGCTGAGTCTTGTCCTGTGGAGGTGGCTCTTCTGTGTTGTGCCATGCGCTTGTGAAGTGGCTGTTTGGTCTCTCCAATGTAGAGGTCTGGGCATTCCTCGCTGCACTGTACAGCATACACCACATTGTTAAGTTTGTGTTTTGGCGTTTTGTCTTTCGGGTGAACCAGTTTTTGTCTGAGCGTGTTGCTGGGTCTGAAATACACCGGGATGTCGTGCTTGGAGAAAACTCTCCTGAGTTTTTCTGATACACCGGCTACATAGGGGATGACAATGTTGTTGCGTCTGTCCTTCTTATCCTCCCTCGCTGGTGTCTGGTCTTCTTTTCTGTGCCTCTTTGCTGACTTTAAGAACGCCCATTTAGGATAGCCGCACGTTTTGAGTGCTTCCTTTACATGTGTGTGTTCCTTCTTTTTTCCTTCAGGCTTAGAGGGAACATGTTCTGCCCGGTGGTGTAGGGTCCTGATTACTCCAAGTTTGTGTTCCAGAGGGTGATGGGAGTCAAAGAGGAGGTACTGGTCCGTGTGTGTGGGCTTCCGGTAAACTTCGATGTTGAGTTTGCCGTTCTCTTCAATGTGCACGGCGTCCTTTGTGTCTTCCCTGGTGAACTTGATGTTTTTATCCACAGCGTTAATGTGCGCAGTGAAGGATTCCACTTCTTGTGTCTTGATTTTGACCCAGGTGTCGTCTACATATCTGTACCAGTGGCTGGGTACTCTTCCTTTGAAAGAGCCAAGAGCCTTCCTTTCCACTTCCTCCATGTAAAGGTTGGCTACAATAGGTGACACGGGGGAGCCCATGGCACAGCCATGTTTTTGTCTGTAAAAGCCTTCGTTGTATTTGAAATATGTAGTGGTGAGGCAGAGGTCTAACAGTGTGCAGATCTGATCGGGTGTGAAGTTGGTCCTGTCCTCCAAGGAGCTGTCTTCTTGTAGTCGTTTTCTGACAGTCTCCACGGCCTCCGTGGTGGGTATGCAAGTGAAGAGAGAGACTACATCAAAGGACACCATGGTTTCATCTGGATCCAGGGTAAGTTTCTGGACCTTGTCGGTGAAGTCGGTGGAGTTCTTGATGTGGTGTGGGGTGTTCCCCACGAGAGGAGCAAGGATGGTAGCAAGGTGTTTAGCAATGTTATAAGTGGCTGAGTTTATGCTACTGACTATGGGTCTGAGTGGGACAGCTTCCTTGTGGATTTTAGGAAGTCCATAGATGCAGGGTACACTACATGTTCACTCTTTTTGTCTGAGAAAACTTTCTCTCCTCCTTTCGCTTTATTTCCTTTGAGTCTCACACTTAGAAATATTAAATTAATGTTAGAAATCATTATTGGATAAGGTTTTTTGACTCAAGTATAGGATACCAGATTTCAGTTAAAAAAGGGGAAATTGTACGCTTAATTAAACTAAAAACCTGAGTTTTGCAAGAAAATCTGACGTGATGGAATTTTAAAAATATTTTTCTTGATTTCAGTGAAACAGTCAAAAAGTCCTATGCAGTTTTTTGGTTGCAGACCTGTGCTGTTCACATGTAGTTGTTACCACGAGTATGTTAGAACTCCACAGAGCCCTTTGTCCCCCTGTGTCCACAGTAGAGTGTGCATGGGTGTCTCCAACAATGTATTGTTTGTGAAAAACAGTCATATCGATTAAAAACATGTTTAATATAATGACAAACAATTAACATAGTAGATACAAGTCTACAGATCTGCATCAGATGCAGTGAAGTGTTAAGTGTCCTTAACATCCTGTCTCAGGCTGCAGGAGGGGAAAAAAGTAAGATAGACTTGAAGATTGTAGTAAATGTACAGAAGCTTTGTGTAATCTTTCTGTATCCTCATACACTTTGTCTTAACCGATTAGATCACTGAGCACCTTTCTGCTGAGTTTAGAAAACTGTGGTTAGTTTGGTGTGCTAATTCACACTAATGAGACGAGTATCATAAAATATGAAATATTGATTAAATATGTATCCCACACACCTAAATACTACATCTTACTAGCTAATACTTTAACCTTTGTCATGTTGCTTTAATTTTAAATGGTAAATGGCCTGTATTTATATAGTGCTTTACTAGTCCCTAAGGACCCCAAAGCGCTTTACATATCCAGTCATCCACCCATTCACACACACATTCACACACTACTTAAATTAAGCGTGAAATATGAATATGCACCCAGCATATAATAGAACTTCTACTGTATATTCTTCTTGCTATATGCAAGTAAACAGACTGATTCTTATAGAGCGCATTTCTTCATACAGCATGCTACATTCACTTCCTTCTATGCGTTTAAGTTCTTACTAACTAACATTTACACTGCAACAGATGCACTGGAGAGCATCTCCTCCAAGGATACTTGGCATGTAGACTGGGGGAGCCAGGGATCAAACCACTAACCTTCTAATCAGTAGATGACCTGCTCTACCTCCCGAGCTACAGCCACCCTGTGTTTAAGCGGAATATGCCGTACTCCAAATGGCAGTAAAGTTCTTAAAGTCACCCACATATACCCAAGACTGGCAAACGAAAGTCAAACAAAAAGACTTTAATAAGTACTGATAAATTTTAAAAAGCAGTGCACGAAGATGTCATGAAAAAGACTGAGGAGGAGATGTTTATTAATAAGTCACAGGTGAACTCAATTAAAGAAAATAAAGGCAGGGAAAAAAAAACAAAGGATGAAAGTAAAAACACATCAAGATCCTTAACTATCTACTTCAAAATAAAACAGAAGGGGTAATTAAAGAGAGATCAAGAATAAGCACACAGAGAAAAGAAAAACAGGATATATAAACGGGAAACACACAAGGGAAAAAGGGAACAAACATTTAGATAACAAAAAATAAAACTCAGGATTAAAACAGAAAATAAGGATCATAATAAAGGACATAGAACTCCATTGAAGTTATTTACCTGCCAATTTATTATTCTAGCCTTAATAGATATATGATATCTCCCTTCATCAGGTGACACAGTGTCTTGTATGGAGTTAACTTTACTGGAGTATGCTACCGAGACAAGGGGCTGAAGTGGCTGCAAAAAACTATCAGTAAAAGTCTTTCAGGAGAAGCATCTGTGCAGTCATCTGTTCTTTTTCGACCCTGTTTTCCAAGCCTTTGGGCAAAAGGTTTGTTACACCTAACACATTTAAGTCAGTGTAATACAATTCATTTTTATTTATATGTCAACAAATCACTAGAGCAATCGCCTCAAAACAACATGTATTGAATATATTTATATTGTAATAGATAGAAAACCCAAACTATCAAAAGACCCCCTCTGAGCAAGTACTTGGCAAAAGTGGCAATGAAAAACACCCCAATAACAGGAAGAAACCTCCAGCAGAACCTGGCTGGATGGACGGCTATCTGGAACAACAGGCTGGGGGTGATGGGAGAAAGACAGAATAAAAGACACTATAGAAGAGAGCCAGCGATTAAAATTCTAGTGCCGTATTGGAGAAGTTCAAGACCAAAGTGGAATGAATTCTG